GAAAGCCCTAATTTCCTATACAGGCCTAAAGTTCAGCATGTGCAGGGCAGTTAGAAACAACTTACAGGCCTATATTAGATTCACACTTATTTAGTGTCATCAGAGATGCATTTACTGTACATCTAGAAGCTGTCATTGAACAATGATTGGAGTGGGAGCTGAGGGTGGTATCAATATTTCAACAAGATAAACCTTCAAGCATGAGCAGAATGTAATAGCCTTTCCTAAACAACAATCAAAATTGGCTAGAAATAAAAAAACATTGATCAATCAGTCTCTCCCCTGGACTTTTTTAAACCATCATTAAGAATCCTTGGCCTCTTTCCATCTTCCCCAGACAGACTTTTGGAACCTTAAGATATATTCATCCGCTGATCTCTTCGCACTGCGAGACTCCCCCCTCTCGCAGGCCTGGCCCTCCATGTTATCGAGGGCCTATCTTGATGACGGGTCTTGGAACCCCGAGAGATGGCATGCAGCGAAGAGGGGGTTGAGGGGTTTTCTACGTAAATTTTTAATGAAATTTTTAAGGGGTGGGAATAATGATTTTTTAAGGGGAACCGGGAGGAAGACCAAGGGGTTTGGGGGGACGAACCCACTAGGGTCAGAGCCGAGCCCGGCACAGGGGGACGGTTTGGAGGGTGCAGGTCGAGGGATTGGGGAGGGGCTGGAGGACTATCCGGAGGAGGAATTTTCCATCAGCACAGTGAATGGAGGGGCAGATATGGCGGGAGCAGGGGACCATATCATGTGTCGGGGGCTCGCACTTGCTATCTGAGAGCAATTGCTTGCCCCGGTCCCCAAGGCTCCGCTCGGACACTAGATACTCAGGATCTGGGCCTTCGGCTGATGCTGTGCAATGCCAGGTCCGTGGTAAATAAGCCCCCCCTCATTCACGATCTTATTCAAGAGGGAGGAGCGGACCTGGCGGGTATTACGGAGACCTGGTTGGGCCCGGAGGGCGGCGTCCCTCTGGTCGAAATGTGCCCACCAGGCTTCAGAGCATTCCATCAGCTGAGGGCCCAGGGGAGGGGCGGGGGGTGGCGGTTATTATTAACGAGGATCTGGGTCCGAGGGAGACCACTGTGCCTCAGATAGCCGGATGTGAGTCCCTCCTTGTGAGGTGGGGTCATGGGGTTCAGATGGACTTGTTGCTTACGTACCTGGCTCCCTGCCGCGTGGCAACAGCCCTACCTGAGCTACTCAACGTGATAGCCACGGTGGCAGTAGATACACCCAGGCTTTTAGTCATGGGTGATTTCAACTTGCCATCCGTTGGTGAAACGTCTGAGGTGGCTCGGGAGTTCATGGCTTCCATGACGGCCATGGACCTGACCCAGTTAGTTCATGGCCCTACTCACAGGGGAGGTCACACTCTGGACCTGATTTTTGTCTCTGGCCAGTGGTTGAGTGGTCTTGTTATTGGGGATATAGACATGGAACCCTTGTCATGGACAGACCACTCACTCCTTCGCCTAGATCTTCGAACTGCTGCCCCCCGCCGCAGGGAGGCGGATCCAATTAGATGGGTTTGGTGATCTTCGCAAAGGAGGGGATAAATTGCCCGTAAAAATTTGTGAACCCTAGGAAGCTTTGTAGCTGTCTGCGGGTGCGAGGGGGTTGCCAGCCTAGGACAGCTTGTACTTTGGCTGAGTCCATTTCTATGCCCTCATTTGACACTCGGTAACCCAGGTAGTCTAGCCGTGCACGGTGAAATTCGCATTTTGATAGCTTGACGTACAGGTTGGCTGCCAGAAGTTTTTCCAGTACCTGGAGAACTAGGGGTATGTGGTTGTTCATGACCTCAGTGTAGATGAGGATATCGTTCAGGTAGACGAGGACCCCCTTATAGAGATGCTCATGCAGCACCTCATTTATTAACTGCATGAACACTGCTGGGGTTTTTTCGGAGGTGGCTGCCAGTTGTTCTGGTGGGCTCTTTGGGAGAGTTCCCTGCATTAGTGGTGCTTCTATTTGCTGATGTGGAGCGGGTTGGGGTCCCTTTGCTATCCTCAGCCTTTGGCTGCCCCCTTGCCACCAGATGATCAGGCCCCACTTGTCTAGCCAGGAGAGTCCCAGTATGACTGCTTCTGTCATTTTGGAGACTATTATGAATCAAATTGCTTCCCAGTGAATCGCTAGCTCTAGCTTCACTGGTTTGGTCAGGTGGGTGGCATAGGCACCCCCCAATAGGGGCCCATTGACCTGTTCAAACCTGGTGGGTCAACCTTTTCGCTCTAATCCCCAGTTTCAGGACCGTGGTTAGGTTGATCAAGCATCTAGTGCAGCCTGAGTCTATTAGGGCTTGAAAAGTCTCATGGGTTCCTGTTTTTAGGGCCGGGAGGCATATTGGGAAGATGAAAGGGTGGATCGGTTCACTCACCATTGGGTGTCATTTTCGCTGTTGTAGGAATCCAGTGACTGATCATCATAGGCTGGAGTCCCCCCCCTTCAGCTGGGTGGGGAGGGACCTCTGCAGCCTGAAGGGCTTTTTGGGATGTGTGAGTGGCACACCTGGGTCCTCGTTCCGGTCATGCCCTGAGTGGTGGCTCTGACTTTGGTTTTGGGGCTGGGATCACGCATGCTGAGGCTATGTGGCCTATCCCCCCACATCTGTAGCATTTCAGCTGACTTCATGGGAGAGTTGGTTTTGGGGCTGGCTGTGGTGCTGTGGCTTCCCGTTGGCTGGATGGTCTCTGGTCTGGTTGACCTCTCTCTTTCGTGTCCAGTTGCTTTCTCATGTCATTGGCACGCAATCCACCATCGACTTTTATGACTACTCAAAACCACTCAGAGAGTCAATTTGGGATGTCCCAATAGGCAATTTGCTTGTCCAGGCTTGTTCTGAAAAAATGAACTAGCAGCCACTCTGGCAAAGGGGGTATCTTCCCCATGACTCACCTGAACTCATGGATGTGTTCTTTAATGGGTAGCCCCCTCTGCTTTTGGTTTCTGAGCTCATCTGTCACATACAAATCCTCCTCTGCCTCCTCAAATCTGGCCTCTAGCTGTTGTAGGAAGTTGTCTACGTTGGTTCATTCATTTCATTCATTTATTAGATTTGTATACCACCCTACTCCCAAAGGATTCTTTTGGGCAGCATGATGGCCCCTCATCATGAAAGGTGGCCTGGTCAAATTCCTCTGTCAGCTGCTTTATGAATCTCCCCAGGGGTTCTATCAGGGGCTTTGGGAGCCTGGCCTGTGGCCAGTCCCACATCCAATCCACTCTTCCTAGCTCGCTCAGGGGCCTTCCCCCCCTTCTGGGTACTTGGGGGGGGGGAACTCAACCTCAGCTGCTTTAGGGCTTCTTTTCCACCAATACTCATCCCTTTTTACTTCAGTTGCTGGGGCGGGCGTCTCGGCTTTGATGCACTCCAGTTGCGACTGGGCTGCATTCCAGTTGCGATTGGGCAGCTGGGTCCTGGAAGTCCCTGGTTAGAGGCAAGTTCTGCCTCTCTCTGGGTCTCCTGGAGCAGGCTCTCTTTGGATGGTCCACCCTCTGCCATAGTAGCTCAAGTTTCTTTCCATGCACCCCAGGGGTCAGGGAGTCCCAGTGATTTTGATTAGTTTTGAGAGAGTTGGCTTGCTGTCAGGGTTCCGATGGATGCCCTAATTAAATCATGAGCCTTGAGCCAAGCTTCAAAAGAAATCCAGTTATTTATTATGAGCTTCATGTCAGCACCTTGCAGGTGAAGCCAATTCTAACCCCACGTAATTTACGCCCCAATCATGACCCTGTTTCCCCCCTCCCCCAGGGTGTATCATCAATCACATTCATCAACGGAGCAATTTCGCAGGTTGTAGAGATAACTCCCCTTCCACTGTGGGTAACCCTGGGAGACAGCCTTGAGAGAGATATGTCTGGAATGTGCTCCTGTCTTTGGCTGCCGTGCTGCTTTGTCGGGTTCCCATCCTTCTTGCCTATGGCAACTCGAGAGCAGGCCAGGGATGCTTTGCAAATTAACACTCACAGTGTCTCACAGGTCATGAGATGAGGTGGGGTGGTGGTGGAGCTGTCCCACATGCCCCACATTGGCTTACCTCGGGGCCCCTGCAGCCAGGCCATCCACACCCAACACCTGCCTCATAGCAGCAGCACCAACAGCCATTTGCAGAAGGAGCCCATGCAGCTGCCATGGTGCCGTGGCTGAGAGGCAAGGCAGGTGTCGGGGTGTGGCTGGCCTGGCTGTGGAGGCCCTGAGGTATGCCAGTGTGGGGTGTGTGAGGCAGCTCCATCCCTGCCTTGCGGAGGCAGCACTGGTACGGTGCGTGGCCTCCTGCCCTTCTGTGAGCAACAGAAAAAGTGGGTCTCCCATACATGGAAAAAGAATAAGACACCCCTAAAAATAAGCCCTAGTGCTTATTTTGGGGTTCAAAAGAAACCTATATACATTGCACACTATCCATTTCAGTAGAGCAAAAACAATTTTTTCAGATGTTATTGCACTATAACTCCAGTCATTGCAAACCTCAAAGTTAATGGGCCAAGAGGGTTGCTGACTTGAAGAAGTCATATTCTCTAGCCATATGCATTCTAGGTCATGACTAGCTGTATGTTGAAATATTTATTTATTCTGATTTTTCATCTATAATAGCCCTCCTAAACCTGGTGGTATCCAGCCTGGATGGGTATGATGGGAGCTGAATAGAACAGGAGTGCTCCAGTTTGAGGGAGGTTGTGATAAGACTTTGCATTTGCATGAAGGTGCTCTGGGCAGCCAATTCAGAAACATTTTGGTCATGTTATCTAGCTATCTGAACCATTGAATGCAGCTGTGTTTTGATGTACTTTGGAGAACTTCAACTTTTTTTACAACAAGTAAAATAAACATGTTTGCTACCTCTTGTTTGCAGCCCCAAAGTGAGTCTTGGGCAATTAATGTCTGTTTGAGCTCTGGGGAAGATGCCCTGGGGGGATTTATGGCATTGGTAAACATAACCCCTCCTAGAGTTACATTTCTATCTTTAACATCCCATTTCTGTCTATCAGTTGTTACAGAAATCTATTCGGTTTTGTGCTTTTTTTTTTCCTGCTGAGTCCTGTTCCTCTTTGGTGAAACTACCTTTGGAGACCTTAGTTCAGATGAGCAGAGTAAGTAAGCTAACCTTTATGATATTTATTGAGAGGTTTGCCAACTTGGCAGTTGAATTTCTAAACTCAAAAGGAGTTGTTAGTATCAGAAGCCTTTGAAAGAGGAAGATCACAAATGTTAGAAATAGCAGAATTTGTCTGACCTTGTTTTGACAATAAGGGAATGATTGTGAAATAAACTCCATACACTTGATGGTGCTCTGTTTTGCTTTGATCTGCATAGACAGACAAACGGGATTCAAACAAACTACTGAGAGATGGAAAATAAGGAGATAAATTATTTTGTTTTCTATCTTGAAACATGGAAAAGGATAAATTGGTAGATAAATGCATTCCTTTATCAATACGATGCCACAGGTGAATAAGGAAAAACACCTGGCACACTAGATTTGACAAAGGAGGAGACACTGGGGAAAAAGTAAGGAACAACAATTGTAATAAAGTACATTGTTTTGGATTGTTTTATTTATTTCATTTTTAAAGTCTCCTAACAGATGAAACTCTCTGGATGATTTGCAATTAAACAAATTAAAAGATACAATTTGAATAAAGATGTATACTTCACTATCAAATCAAATGAAAAATGAAAGCACCGTACAAAGTAAGCTTTTAGAAGGATAAGCTTTAAAAATCTAAAACAAGGTGAATTAAAATATCGGTAAAAGCCAATTAGAAACCTTGGGGTAGGATGGATGGAGAATCTATAAACCTCTAGATTAGCTGGCCTTCAAATCCTAGTTTTCCCAACTAAGATGAGCAATGGCCAGGGGTAAGTAGATATTGTAAGCCAACTATATTTGGCGCACTATAGGCTCTCCACATCTGAAACAAAGGGCTTATGGAAGGATTTAATAAGGAGGAAGGAAGGGAAGGGGAGAGGATATGAGGGAACACAAAGGGAAGCAAAGGGAGGAGCAAGCAGAGAAGATCAGAGAAAAGCAACCTGATGTTCTTTAGATTTATTATTGCCATTTTGGGCAGGACTGATGGAGCTATACTGCAAAGCAGCAGGTCTAAGGTTGATACCTATAGTATAGTCATCATTTTGCCATCCTCCAATATAAATTCTTCTTGTTATTCCTCCTTCCCCCCCCCAAATAATAATAATAATTAGCATAAACAAAGCACTTCTGATAATATCAACATTTGTAAAACACTCAGCTACATTTTGCCCTACATTTTCAGGACATTATCTTGATCCAGAACAGAGTCTGGTCTATAGACTGTAGACCCAGCTTCTAGTCTATATGGAAGTGCAAGGATTCATTCTATTAGGGCAGGAGTGTCAAACTGGCGGCCTATGGGTCAGATGTGTCATGCACAGGCCACACCCATCTCAGCTCCACAAAGGGGGAAAAGGTCGTGAAACGTCACGTGACAGCAACGTGACACCACAAGTTTGACAGCCGTGTCCTAGGGTGTCTCCTTCTAGTTTCAGATGGACTAATATTGAAGTACTTAATGTGTTTGCTCTATCCTAAACTTGAACAAATATAGCTGTATCCTATTTTATATTTGATTTGTTGTTCTAGATATTTTTTTTTAAAGGCTTACCTAGTCTTACACTTTTGTTTTATACATCTAATTATGTGGGACTATTCCTATATATAAATGCAAAATTGTCTTGCTTTACTTTTTCTGATTATTTTGTCCTTAGATGTCACTTCCTCATACCCTCAACTATTTTAAAGGCTTGACAAATCCTAATCTAACTTTCCTCTCAGATTCCTGGTTACATGGACAGCAGAAACCACACACTTCACCTAGACTTCATTCTCCTAGGTTTGTCTTCTGATCCTGCACAGCGAAAGTTCCTCTTTGTCATCTTCTTGGTGATGTACACAGTGGGTATCCTGGGGAACTTCTTGATTATCCTGCTGATCCTTCGGAATTCCCAACTGCGGGCCCCCATGTATTTCTTTTTGGGACATCTTTCCTTGGTGGATGCTTGCTTCACCTCAGTCACTGTCCCCAAGATGTTGGCCAACCTATTGATGCCAGAAGCCACCATCTCTTATGCTGGTTGCTTGACTCAAATGTATTTCTTCTTTGCCTTTGGGGTCACTGACAGTTTCCTCCTGGCTTCCATGGCTTATGATCGCTATGTGGCTATCCGTAATCCTCTGCATTATACCACTATGATGAGCGAGAGAGTCAGAGTCTTTGTAGCCAGTTCTTGGATTATCTCCCATCTTCACTCCTTGCTACACATTATTCTCATGTCTCGCCTTTCCTTCTGCGGTTCCCGGGAGATACCCCACTTTTTCTGTGACCACCAACCTGTGCTGGCCCTATCATGCACTGATACCAGTTTAATTGAAATGTTGATCTTCACTGAAGGGTCCTTGGTAGTGTTGAGTCCTTTTGTCTTCATTGTGATCTCTTATATCCTTATCTTGGTTACCGTCCTGAGACTGCCAGCGGGAACTGGGTGGCGCAAGGCATTCTCAACCTGTGGGGCTCACTTGTCTGTTGTCGTTCTCTTTTATGGCACTGTAATTGGCGTCTATTTTCAGCCTACAGCAAAATACTCAGCTGAAAAGGGAAGGGTTACCACTGTCATGTATACCGTGGTCATTCCTATGCTCAATCCCTTTATATACAGCTTGCGGAATGATGACGTCAAAGGAGCCTTTCGCAGAACTTTATGCAGGAAAGTGGGAATGTAGTGAGTCCTTGTCCTGCAATTTATTGTGCTGAATGTTAAACTGTAAGAATCAGTCCTGTATCAGTGACCACCACTGAGTTCTCAGGGAGTCTCAGAATAAATGCCACTTCCTCCCATGAGAACGGTAGTGACATGAATAGCAAGAGTGGACTGCCCTTAATGATTCATTTTTCACCAAGGACAGAAGATCTGGTCAGTATGGCAAAGGCCGCCATGTTGCCATGGTATAGCCACTGTCCATTGCACAGTTCATTTTTCCACCTCCCTTGTGTACCTGCATGGCTGTGACCTCATGTATAGTGGACGTAGAAGCTTTGAAAGACTGGTGAAATGGAAAGGCTGAATCAAAATCGTATGCATGTTGTGGGAGTGTGTTCTGCCCCAGCTACGGGTCCCAAGAAGTGTAGCACACACACACAGCTCCAAAAACTCCGTTTAATACAAACAGACCCCTTTCAAAATGCAGGCTTTAACCACAAATGTCCTTATCAGCCTGCTATGAATTACAGAGATTAAACAAAGTCCGACAAGGATTGGCAATCAGCCCAGAAACCAAGTTGTAACAAAAAACTCACTCTCAAAATGCTCTGCGTAGGGCCACACATTGTTTCCAGCAACATTTGCTATCTGTGTGCGAACTTAAATAGGCTAAGGGAGTGGCCAATTAACCCCAAGCCTTACTCTCGAGGAGACTTCCTCCTGAGTAGCCACTCCTGCTTTTTGGCAGCCCTGCATGCTCGAGCATTGAGAAGAGGCTCCTCCACTTCACTCTCTTCACTTGAAGGAGCCTCTGGAGGTTCTGAAAGCCCTGGCTGAGTCTCTGCCTCTGGCACCACATCCTCTTCAGCCTCTTCACTGTCCGACTCGAGCGCTGGCTGCACAGGCTGCTGGCGCAACACCACACCAGCCTTCTAGTCGTCGGGATCAGCCACAATCCATGCAGGCCGCTGGCGGGCCACAACAGACTGGAACAACAACAACAACAACAAAATGAATTGGAAGAGACAAGGAAAGGCTGGGAGAGTTCAATGCACTGATCTTCTGAGGTTCAGTCAGTGGGAAGAAGTGAGAGGAGTACTCAAGTTTGACCTGAAACCAGTGGTCCTTCACCATGGACCCCCTTTAAATACCTTTTATGCAGTGGTGGGTTTCAAAAATGTTTACTACTGGTTCTGTGGGTGTGGGTTGGTGGGCGTGGCAGGGGAAGGATACTGTAATATCTCCATTCCCACCTTACTCCAAGGGAATGTTACTTCAAAATCCCCATTTCCTCCCAATCAGCTGGGACTTGGGAGGAAGAGAATAGATGGGGGCAGGGCCAGTCAGAATTTTTACTACTGGTTCTCTGAACTACTCAAAATTTCCGCTACCAGTTCTCCAGAACTGGTCAGAACCTGCTGAAACCCACCTCTGCTTTTGTGGCTATGAACCATGGCTATGGACCAGGGGTGGTATTCACTTACCTTCGTTACTGGTTCGCAAATGTGAGCGTGCAGGACCTTCCGCACATGCGCAGAGCATCAAAAAAGGGATGTGATGATGTCTGGGTGGGTGGGTGGGTGGGTGGAGTCTCCCACCGCCACAACTACTGGTTTGCACGAACCGGATAGAACCGGCTGAATATCACCACTGCTATGGACCCCACAAGACTTAATTCAAGATTTAAATCATAACAATTCTTCAAGCCTTTGCAGACTCCCTGTGTCAATATTGTGGCTCCCCAGAGGTCCAATTAACCTCAGGTTGAGAACCACTGACCTAAACTGTATCTCCTATTGATGTTCCATTGCAAACTCATTTTGTTTGGTCTTTCATCAGAGTAGAAAGACACTAAGTTAGATCTTTCCAAACAATTCTTTAGGCCAGAGCTAAGCTGGAAAATTTTGGGAGTTGAAGTCCACAAGTCTTAAAGCTGCCAAGTTTGAAGACCTCTGCCTTAGGCTCTCCCCATTATCACATTACAGGGCTATCTACCTATTCATGATTCAGCAAAAAAAAAAAAAAAAAGGCATAGAATTGCTGTGCCGACTGCTAATCTCTCTCCTGCCTCTTTTCTCAGTCAGTGCCAATCATCTGACTTCCCTCCAAAAGAACAGATTTTACATTCTTTGAGACTGGCCTCGAATGGTGTCAGGATAACATGGATGATATTTCTTTAACTACATAGCTAATGTCAGCTTCAGTTTCTTCACTCGTGGGCTGGGGAGGAAATGAGGCAAATCTTGAGGGTGAGCTGGATGAGAGGATTTAACCATAGGTTGCATGTGGATGTTTAATCTTGGTGCCAGGTTTTTAATGTAACCTTACTGTATGGCAAGATGGGCAGTAATAAATTTTACAGATAAATAAATAAATAATGTTTATAGTTTTAATATCTAATACAACCTGTGCACGGTTTAGGTCATCACTTTAGAGATATTTCCTTACCTAAACAGAGAAACAGAATGACCAAGGGTGGGCAAAAAAGCATGGGAGCAAGTGACTTCCAACTTCCTGCTGCCTTCCCCACTGAGTTTCATTGTAGCATTCTGACATGGAGCATGGGAAATCCTTCCTTCCTTCCTTCCTTCCTTCCTTCCTTCCTTCCTTCCTTCCTTCCTTCCTGTCTCCCTCCTCCCCATCCATCCATCCATCTTCCCTTCTCTTTCCAGCAGGCAGGTGAGTGGCTGCTGCTAGTTGGGGGAGGATGCAAAGGATTGCAAAACTGGCTGGGAAACTGTCACAGAACATTGAAAATGAAGATCACATGACCACTGCAGCAGCAGCAGCCAGTAGCACTGAGGCAGTGACAACTTCCCCAAATTTTATTTCCTTGGGAATCATGTATCCTGGATTTTGGAAACATTCTGTAAATTAGCACATTTGAGGTATTTTGGTTCAAAAATTGTTTATCTGTGGTGCACTCTTTTACCCAGTTAAAGGTTATGATCTTGAGAGTTTTAGCTTTAAACTTAGTATTTAGATATCATGTTGTTTTAATATTAATGTCGTTTTATTTGCTGGGGGGGGCAGTTGCCCAGAAATTGATATAAGATGGATGGCTATAAAATGTTTTAAATGAATAAATAAATAATATGGCAGAAAAGGGACATGTTTGGACTATGGTTAAATGCAAACAGCTTTGTACATTATGATAGTATTTCTTGTGCAGTGGCCTAATGTTTTAGATGCCTTAGAACCGTGATGGCGAACCTATGGCATGTGTGCTACAGGTGGCATGAAGAGCCATATCTGTGGGCACACGAGCGTTGCTCTAGCTCAGCTCCAGCGCGCATGCACACACCGGCCAGCTGATTTTTGGGCCTTCTGGGCCCACCGGAAGTTGGGAAATGGGCTGTTTCTGGCCTCCGGAGGGCCTCCAGAGGGGTGGGAGAGGCCATTTTCGCCCTCCCCAGGCTCCAAGGAAGCCTCTGGAGCCTGGGGAGGGCAAAAACCGGGCCTACTGGGCCCATCAGTAACCTTTTTGCCATCGCGTGCCAAAAGTGGGGGGAATGCAGGGGGGGTCACATGCACATGCGTGGGGCGCAGGGGGGCATTGAATTATTGGTGTGGGCACACACGCACGTGATCCTCTCGCACTCCCCCCCCTTTTGGCACGTGATGGCAAAAAGGTTAGCCATCACTGCCTTAGAACAAATCAAGTGGCCTCAGTAAGTTCTTAAGAACTTCTCTCCTTTATGCATTGGATTAATGCTTTTGAATTCCAGAGACTATAGCTTTTTCCCCTGTGAAAGGAATTTCCCCAAAATATCAATGGGAAGAGAAGCTGCCTCTACCTCACTGATAGGCAAAAAGCGAATCAGTATGGTGAAATGTTACCTTTTCAAACGATGGGTCATGACTGCAACCAATATACCAAAATTCTCAAGTTAAAAACAAGCTCTTGAAAAGAGAGCAGCAGCGCCAACCTGCCTTACCTTCTCTTGCTGGACTGGGGGATGGGGACAAAGGAGTGGGATGGGGACTATCAAAGTGGGGAGGCCCTCAAGAACATACCGTGTTTCCCCAAAAATAAGACCCTGCCTTTACATTTTTTTGAACCCTGAAATAAGCGCTTGACCTTATTGCCATGCGCTCAAAAGCCCGATTGGGCTTATTATCAGGGGATGTCTTATTTGGGGGAAACAGGGTAATAACTAAGACAACTTCTATTCCTAATTCTTCTGGCCCAGGTCTTAAAAAATACGATTTTCATCATACAATGAATCTTTGGGGGCTTTATTGGACTCCACAGTTGATGTTTTGAAAATGCAGTAAATTTCAAAGGATACTAGTATACCAGGGGTGGGTTTTAACACTGCTTTTAACACTGATCAGCTGTAGGACAGCCCTTTGAAGCCCTGCGGCAAGAGTTTAAACAGTTTTTTTTCCCTCTAGTCATCAGGAGGCAGCAATAGATTGGGGGTGGAACCAAATAAAAGGTAAGAATAACGTGGGGGGGGGAGGGCGGGGGGGGAACCGGTTTGGTGATGTCATATCATCACGCTACCGGCTCGGCCAAACTGGACCGAACCGGGAGGAAACCACCACTGTAGTATACATGTTTGGTTATCTTAATCAGTTGTTTCTTATTTGTAACACATTGTTACTATTGTGATTCAGATTTCCTGAGAGGAAGCTAAGGTTCAAAAATGTTAATGTGTTGTTATAGTAGAAAATTCTAAAATTTGCAACCTGTTTATTTTGCATATATACAGGAAGTCATCGACTCACAGCCATTCATTTAGTGATAGTTAAAAGTTGTAACGGCATTGAAGAAAGTGACTGCAGTCCTCGCACTTGCAACCGTCACAACATCCCCACTGTCACAGGATCAAAATTTGGGGGGTTAGCAACCAGCATGTATTTCCAATGGTTGTAGTGCCCTGGGACATATGATTGACATTTGTGACCTTCCCAGCTAGTTTACAATAAGCAAAGTCAATGGGGGAAGCCAAATTCGCTAATTGACCCTGTGATTCACTTAACAACTGAGTGATTTAACAACCAAAAATGGCAAAAATGGTCATAATATCAGGTGCGACTCACTTAACGTCTTGTTTAGCAATGGAAATTCTAGAATCAATTGTGGTCATATGTTGAGGACTACCTATAGTGCTTGGACTTTTGCTGTAAAGATGGCTATGTATTCTTGGAAAGATGCACATGTACCAGACTCTAAATGTTAGTTAGCATGTTGAAATGTGTCACTTCTCAAGCCTTCAGACTGATTCTTAATGGACACAAAAAAACCCACAATGTATTCAAGTTTCAATATGATATTTAAATATTGAGCCTTCCAATTTTTTAATAAAATGTAACCATTATATCTCTATTGTAGAGAGCTAAATTTTGTTGTTTTTAAATACCTTTCTTTTTATGTTAGCTTGATTTATTTAGATTTTTATATATCATTTGAGCTTGATAATATTCACAGGTTTGGTGTTTTGTGTTGTCACTTAATTTTTTTTTTTTCTTTTTACGATCCTTTAATCCCTTGTTTCAGGGCCTGTGTGGAATTCACAGCAGATATTTCCTCTTTGCGGCCTGGTAGAGAAACATCTGTCACTGCCTAGGATTAAACCCTCAACCTTCTGAATGGGAAGCAAGCACCTTCACCTCCAGGCCATCACACCGCTTGTTGTTTTTTCACTTAAATTCAGTTAATTCAGCTCAGTTGAAATATCAAATTATCAAATGAGGTTGTGGATCAGCATTGGATGAGTGACATCGCAAAGCATATCGGAGGCCTCTTTCTGAAGTGCTTTTATGTTATTATACATAATGGCTCATTCACATATCCTGCTTCCAGGATGGAGAGATGGTATCACTTTTTCTCAAGGATAGGAATACATAATGTCATTCTCAATCCATTTTTAACTGTCTGCAAAGGCAACCGTGGCCCCCTTTTTTGGTCTCCCCATGAAAACAGTGTTTTCTAAAAAATGTTTGACACAATATAATGTTTGACCAATGGGAGAATATGAGAATTAAGAACTGAAATTTACACTGCATTATAACTTGAAAGAAAGCTCTTTAATAAGACATTGTATCATTGGTACTTAACACCTGATAAATTCTCAAAAATTTATAAAAGTTTTGCAAGCATATGTTGGAAATGTAATCAATCTCGGTGATTGAGCCTCAGTGGTACAGCGGACTAAAGTGCTGTTAAGTGCTAGCACTTAGCTGCCAGCTGCCTGCAATTAGTGCAAGTTTGAATCTCACCAGGCTCAAGGTTGACTCAGCCTTCCATCCTTTCGAGGTAGGTAAATTGAGGACCCAGATTGTGGGGGCAATAAGCCAACTTTGTATAGAACAACACCGCTTAGGGGGGGCCGAAAGCCCTAATAAGCAGATATATACAAAAAAGTATGCCAGCTATTGCTATAATGCATTGTAAGCCGCCCTGAGTCTACGGAGAAGGGTGGCATATAAATTGGACTAATAAATAAATAAATAAATAAATAAATAAATAAATAAATAAATAAATAAACAAACCTGAAGGTATTTTTCATCATCATTTTTGGTGGACATACAAGAAACATAACAAATATTGGAATAAGATATGTATTTTCATTTAGAGGACTTTTAAACTAAGTGTACAATTGAAACGAGAGATTTTTCTCCTAGGTTTGATGGACAAACAAACAGGGAGGAAAAAACCATGGAGCTTTATTCTTATAAGGAACAGACAGCAGCAATATTTCTCTATGCACAGAGATAGAAGAACTCAACAAGGCAACAAAGGATAGTGAACTGAATGGACTTGGCAGAGATGGCAAAATCGATTGCTTTGATTAAAGAAAAGACTGTCTAGCTTTATTTTTACTTGGATATCAGTTCTGCAGTATTTTCTTTATATTGAAAAAAGAAGGGAAGGGAAGGGAAGGGAAGGGAAGGGAAGGGAAGGGAATCAGCTTTCTATCAGAAGCTGTGTACAAGGCCAAAGGGAACAGTCTTAGAGATGTGACCATTTTGTCCCAAATGAAAGCAGTTTCTGTCTAAGGTTCTCTCCATTAGCTTTTAATTGGGGACAACATTGTTTGGAGCAAATAATATCAAGAACTGTAAGTGATGGAGGAGGGTTTTTTCTCCCCAATCATCCCCAAACACACTAACCTGCAGGATCTGAATGGACAGCCAGATTGTTTTTGGACATGCTTTTAGGAAATACAAGGTCGGGACATCTTCTGCCAAAGAAGTAAATTCATGATGTTCTTGAAACAGCCTACCCTCAAAGTAATTAACTGAGGCCCGTTGTGAAACTTAGCAAGGGCTAGTTCCTCCCAAACATTAAACAATCAATTGTCGTCTCTTCAAAATGTTGGATCTAACTCATTGTTTCAAATATTTATATTTCAAGTGAGTATCCATTCATGTGTGAAGCCTGGGACAAGTTACCCTAGTATTAGCCCTTTTGAAAGGGCCCAGAATTAAGCTCACACTTTATGATTCCTCAACTACATTGTGGTTGCCAGGAGAAGCCAGGTATGAAATCTGAGCCCATTTGTATGCAAAGAATATGTTCTATCAGCACAGGCAGACCTTCCCCTTATTCTTACTTCAAGCCAGCTGTAAGACAGCTCAATGGAAGAGCCAAGATTTCACTATCAGTTTGGATCCCTTTCCCAAGAGATTTCTCATTGCCCCTTTCACTTCTTTATTCCTGAGGCTGTAGATATAGGGGTTGGACATTGGGGTGAGCAAAAACTGACCCTCACTGTGAAGAATACTTTGAGGTGGGTGAGAAATAGACAGCAATGATGGCCCCATAAAAAAGAACCACCAAAGTGAGATGGGACCCACAGGTAGAGAAAGCTTTGTGCCTTCCTGAAGAAGTAAACTTCATTATTTTATTTTATTTATTTATTTATTATCAAATTTATAGACCGCCCTTCTCCCGAAGGACTCAGGGCTGTGTGCAGCCAAAGTAAAAAACATAGATACAAACATTAAAAACAATTTAAAAAGACATATATAAATTTGGCCCCAAAGTTAAAGTAACAAAACATATTAAAAACATTTAAAAAGCATTAAGCCAGCCCGGCTTGCTGAAAAAGGAAGGTCTTCAGGGCACGGTGGAAGGCACTGAGGTCTTGAATTCTTCGTATCTCTGGGGGCAGTTGATTCCAGAGAACAGGTGCCCCCACAGAGAAGGCCCTCCCCCTGGGGGCCACCAGTCTACATTGCTTGGCCAATGGCACCCTGAGGAGGCCCTCTCTGTGGGAGCGCACCGGTCGGTGGGAGGTCGTTGGTGGCAGCAGATGGTCTCGAAGGTATCCAGGTCCCATGCCATGAAGCGCTTTAAAGGTGATAACCAACACCTTGAAATGCACCCGGAAGACCACTGGGAGCCAGTGCAGCTCATGCAGGAGAGGTGTTATGTGGGAGCAGCATGCAGCTCCCATCACTACCCGTGCGGCCGCATTCTGAACCAGCTGATATAGTTGCCACAATGCGAATGTAGGTGAGAATGATGAAAACTAAAGGCCCAAAAGTGATGATTCCACCTTCAAAGAAGTTGACCGCCTCGTTGACACTGGTGTCTGAGCAGGACAGCTGCAGCAAGGGCTGATGATCACAAAAATAATGGGCCAGGTGATTTTTCCCTCGATAACTGAGACGCAGGAGCAGGCCAGCATGCAGCATGGAGTGTAAGATAGAAACGATACAACATCCAGCCACTAAATTCCCACAAATCTTTTTGTTCATCACTGAGACATAGTGGAGAGGATTACAAATGGCTACATAGCGATCCAGGGCCATAACACTCACAAGAAGGAGATCAGTGACACCAAATACAGAGAGGAAGAAGAACTGGGCCATGCAGAAATAGAAGGGGATGGTCCTGGAATTAGTTATCAGGCAAACCAGCATCCATGGCATTGTGAGTGAGATGAAGCCAACATCAATGACTGAAAGACTATGGAGCAGGAAATACATCGGGGTTTGGAATCGTGCATTCAAGGTGATTAGAAGAAACATTATAACATTGCCCAAAAGTCCAGCACTGTACATTAGCAATAAGAAGAGGAAGAAGAGGGTCCGGTCTCTAGGCTTGGTAGAAAAATCCAGAAGAACAAAATCTTTGATATCTGTCCCATTCTCACAATCCATGAGACCTGCAGGAAAGGTCAATTAAAATTAGAAAGTGGTATTGATTTTTCACAAGGAAAACACTGTTGAATATAATCTCACAAAATGATTGAAAGACTGTCAGTTGTAGAATATCAAATTTCAATTCAAATATTTCAATATTTAACGTTTTCAATTATTTTGGGGGGGCGGGAATTCAATAAAATCTGCAGCCCTGGTTTATCAATATTTGTTTTTCAACATTTGTAAAGACAGTTGGTCTTTTTTTCAACAAAAGTCCTTGGAGGACAACCTTCAGTGATATGATTTTTTTTTAATTCTTATTGTTTTCTCTATTATATAAATTTCCAGAGCCTTTTCTTGTCTTTTTACTGTGGTGCCATTTCACATTGCAAATCTATGTATCTTCTTTTAAATGTTAACTTCGTTTCTTGTAATATTTATTAAAACAGTAAATCAACTGTAAGTCCTTCATATTCCTACTCTTTATTATAATAAGGAACAAGGAATAAGAAACAAATTTATTAATAAAAAACACATTGTAATATCTATGTGTATCTGTATGTCATGTGCTTGTTTCTTTCTATTTTATCTGTTCTCTCTGATATATTTTTTTCCAGCAACCAATGCTGGTAGAATTTTCTCCTCATGGACAAATGTGCTAGTACAATTTTTGTATAATCATTCTGAAGATCTGAGGTAAAGTATGTGAAGGACAATAAGGCAGAAATTAGTTTTTCGTTCCAAATGGTAGAAATAAGCCAGATATACAGTTTGGTTAGAGAAACACTGAACTGTGGATTGGGAGAAGCATGGGAAAGAAAACGGTAGGGTGGAGATGGGAAGCTGATGCTGCTCCCACTCCAGTTGGCCTATTGGCCCATATTCCTCTAGCTGAGCTAGAGCAGCAGTAGCACCACAGAAATAAATAAATGTAGAAATGACATCAAATAATCAGGTTCTTCTGACAACACCTGAGTTATCTTTTATTCCTCAATTGAAGGGTATTTTCTAGTAGGGGGGAGGGTGACAGAGAAGCAAAAGAGCAACTTCCTCTCTGTTTCCTGATTAATAGACAGAAGCAGTGGTGAAATCTAAAATTTGTTACTACCGGTTCTGTGGGTGTGGCTTGGGGGGGCGGGTAATGTGACTGGGTGGGCGTGGGCATTTTTTTTTTTTTTACTTTTAAAACCATTTTTTCTACAGCCTCTTCGGTGAAGAGGTTGTAAAAAAATGCTTTCAAAAGGCTCTGACGATCCCAGCTGAGCCACGCGATCATCAGAGGCTTTTTTTTAACTTTTAAAAGCATTTTTTCGGCCGAAGTGGTTGTAGAAAAAATGCTTTAAATTGTTTTTTTTAAAAGCCTCAATGATTGCGTGGCTCAGCTGGGCATGGGGAGGGGGGGTGCAGGGATTTTTGCTACCAGTTCTCCAAACCACCCGCCTCCATCGCTACCAGGAGCATTTCACCCCTGGACAGAAGGGTCTATCCTTCTCTCCTTTGAGCTGGAAATAATTTTGAATGCAATATTTGACTAATGGGGAACTTGAAAAAGTTGGTATTATTGGATGATGCTTCATTGTACAGAAACTCTTCATTTCTTTCTTTCCCTCCATTCCTCCCTTCTTTTTAAATGTTGGCTGTGGATGCTTCAGAAACTGAGTCATGGATTGATACAGATGAATATGTGAATGTGTAGAAATTCATTAGTTTTTATTCTTGGAAATCTGGTCTCCCTACTTCAGAGCCAGAGACATGCCTTTTATTTTCCACAGACATTTGCAAAGATTTTTTTTAAAAAAATCAGCATAGATGTTTGCTACAAACCAGAATCATGAACGGAAATAACAAAATGTTCATCTCAATATATAACAAGCCATTCTGGTGTGTCTTGTACTTCTGTAGCAACATCAAGCACAGCATGTGTTTGTAGAACTCATCTGAACTCATATGCACTACATTTCAGAATATAGTTTTTTTCAGATCAATAATCTATTTTATCACACCATTACTTGAAACATATGTGTTATTATTCTTTGCTTTCTCAAATCTGGGGGTAATCTATCTTTGGGGTGGTGGGGAGAGGGAAAGACAGAATCTTGCGTTTTCCCAACCCCAAGCAATCACAGCATATGCTTTCTAAACACAAAAGTATAATTTCAACCGAACAATCAGTATTTCTTGCATGATTTTTTTTGCATGACAAATATCCAATCTGGATGGGGTAAGAAAAACAGAATAATAGAATAACAGAGTTGGAAAGAATCTTAGAAGTCTTTCAGTCCAACTCTTTGCTCAAGCAGGAAACCTATACCATTTGAGACAAATGTTGTCCAATCAATTATTGAAAACCTCCAGCGTTGGAGCACCCACAACTTCTGGAGGCAAGTGGTTCCACTGATTAATTGTTCTGTCAGGAAATTCCACCTTAGTTCAAGGAGAGATCCAACTTAGAACTAAGGCAGAATTTCCTGACTGTTAGAACAATTAATCAGTAGAACAACTTGCCTCCAGAAGTACTCCAACACTGGAGGTTTTCAAGAAGAGATTGAACCCTCCCATGCTAATTCTCTGCCATTACAGAATAAGTATTTTCTTACATTCATATGCTTCTGTCCAAAAAGGACTCATTTTCACTCATTATCAAATAACCACTGAGATTACTGAAAGGAATTCACTCTGTACATGGTCAGTATTGTCTCCATACTTCTGTGTAATCTAGCTCCCCACCAGCCACCCTCCCACACTGACCCTGACAAAGAACTAGGTTTGACAGTTTTGCTCTAGGAAGTTTTGTCTTAAGTATATTTCTGTTCCCAAGAGAAAATGTTAGAAAAAGAAAAGGTGAGGGGCTGAATGAAAAGAGGAAGAATGACTAGATTGCTTTTATTCCGTATTCATCACATTTATATCCCATATTTTCCAAGAAGCTTACAGTAGTATACACTAAATAATTCTTGTTTCCCTGGTCTTATTTGAGTGGCACAAGCCCTGTGAGATGTTTACACTAAAAGTTAGTACCTCAGCATGTCAAGAGTATGAGAACCTGTGATTTCTTGGTTCACATCCAATATTCACTCCATTATGTTCCTAGAAAGAAGATGAATCTACTGAAAGACAGTGAACAAGAAGAGGACAATAGAGGGCTAGGATGGGTGAAGAAAAGGGTTCAAGAAAGGTGTTTAAAAGATGGAGAAATTAAGACAACCAGGAGAAGATCCCAGTGACAACTGCAAGTCAATCTCTACTCAGCAAAGCAATATTCTAAGCCAACCACACTCTAATTTGAAGCCCTCCATATCTATTGAAATAAACTTCCATATTGCCTGCACACAATGCTCACTGCTGATTAAAATGTTGGGAAATGTCCCAAAAGTGCTTTTTCAAGAGGCAACTGGACTTCCTGGTTTTTCTTTGAAGACATTTCACTTCTCATCCAAGAAGCTTCTTTAGAAAGTCCAGTTGCCTCTTGAAAAAGCACCTTGACCTGGATGACTGAGAATCTCCATAGACAATTGGGAGATGTAACGGAACATAAACAGGATTTAGCTAGATTTGGAAGGATCTGAGATGTAAAATAAGCCATCTACTTGTTCTGGGTTTCATTATCTCCAATTGTTTGAAATGGCAAGTAATGAAAATTATAGCTCAACATCTCTAAAAGGCACCAGAGTGAGAAAATCTGTGCTTGTTCTGTTGAGCAACACAGATGTTAGGGCCAAATCTTACATAGTTGTCATGGGATTTCATGCCTTGTTTTGCTCTGGGTGAACAATTCAATTGCTTCCTCAGTTCATTACCATTTCTTTCAGAGTTGCTTTTATCTAGTAGAAACTGTGGCAGATTCTGTATCTGAATGAAATTACAACAACAATACAAAGGTGTGTTGTCAATTATCAGTCTCTTACTTACCTATATCAAGGGTGGGTTCTAATTTTTTTTACTACCGGTTCTGTGGGCGTAGCTTATTTTGTGGGTGTGGCTTGGAGGTCATGTGACTAGGTGGGCGTGGCTAGCTGGTCAGAGTCATTTCTGGAAGGTCCTCGCACTTACGACCAGTCCTCGCACTTACGACCTGACTCATTTGTACACTGATCAGCTGTAGGGCGGCCCTTTGAAGCCCCGCGGCAAGAGTTTAAACAGTTTTTTTCCCTCTAGTCATCAGCTGGGACTCAGGAGGCAGCAATAGATTGGGGGTGGGACCAAATAAAAGGTAAGAATAACGTGGGTGGGTGGGTGGGTGATGGACGGCGGGGGGGGGGAGAACCAGTTTGGTGATGTCGTATCGTCACCGCTACCGGCTCGGCCAGACCGGACCGAACCGGGAGGAACCCACCACTGACCTATATCAATGGATTCCCCCTGCTCTGGCACCAGACTGATTTTTGGCAATGAACCAGACCTCCAGCCCAACTGAACATCAAAGATAGTCAACCAGGATTGTTTTGTTTCAACGTCTGTAGCTTCTAAGAAGAAGCCAGCAGGATCTCATTTAAGGATCAGCTACAGAAGCCACCAGGGATATTTCATAGGCAGTTAAGCAAGTCAACAGAAATTCATATCTGGTGAGTGGTGGTCCTGTGGAGACCACAGAGAATGGTTTGTTATTAAAACCAGGAGTTAAAATGCAGAAAAGCAAGTACCATTCTCTAGCACAAGTAGCACACACTCCAGAAATTGGAGGAAGCAGGATGAGCTTTGAGAGAAAACTCTGGGAAGAAATAACGAAAGTGTTTGGAGGCCAAAGAAAGACACAACAATGCAGAGATTTCCATGAAGGTTGGCAAGTTTACTGAAACTAAACTCTAAAGAAGTTAAACACCTTTTTCAATTCTGCCAGGCTCTTTTAACTATGATGCTATAGAACTCAGGAGTTGCTGCCAAAGCTTAAGTTCATCTGGAAGATTAATATGTTTCTAGGGCAGATGCATATGGTGCCTTAGCAGAGAAGACCAGATAGAGAAACATTGTTCGAAACAATTTTAAGATGTATTATGTAAGAATGGGTCTAATTCTCTTAA